GAGACTCCACTGGAGTGTCTCACTGGTTATAGGCTCTATGAAAAGAGATATATATACACATACAATTGTGTGTATCTTCTTCTCCACAGATCCTGTTTTTGTGTTTTGCTCTTTTTAGAGAAAAAAAGGTAGCAAAGGTTGAGAAAGAAATTTTGATCAAATTTGAAAAAAAAAGAGAAAATAGGAGACAGAGGTGAAAATGAAAAAAAGAGAGAATGGAAAGAGATGGGGAAGCAAGAGAGGTAAAAAAAAAAAAGACATTCAATGGAAAAGAAAATGGGTAGAAACTATAGACAATGAAACGGGAGAAGGAGCACGAACAATATGAGAGACTGACACACAGAGAATGGAAAAAAATCTTGAGAATGGAAAAGGGGGGAATAAGGACTGGCATTGCGTTCAGATTATATTATCATGTTCTTGATTCATATTCTTATTGAGTTGTTTATAGATGTTGCTTTGTTTTGTAACTTCTTCTTTTCAAATGCTATAAATGTTAATGATTAACAAAAAAATAAACGTTGGAAAGAGAAAAGCAGAGAGTTGGAACATGACGTGAATGGGGATTGAAATGATACATTGACTCTAGTAGGCACATGTCACTGGTCTGGATTTAATGTTATCACTGGGCAGACATATAAATGAGTTATGTTATCTCAACAGTCATTTTACACGCAGAATGGGCAATCCTGCAAGGAAAGGAGGTCAAAAGAAGGGGCTATCCCCACCCTAGGGAGGCCATGCACAAACGGCTCATTAAGTGCTCTGTGCATGGTCCCACTGCCCTGACACCAATCGGCACAGTGCTAATGCTGTGCTTGTTGGGACAGTTCACAGGTGTCCTCAGATGTGAGAACCTATCAGGTTAAGTGGGACAGAACCTGAAATCAGGATGGCTGCTTATGTTTTTTTTTTTTTGCTTGTTTTTAAAGCCATCTGCAATCAAACCAGAGCAAAACCTTTCAGAGAGTGATCATCGATTGTCTGGAGGGTCCAGAGCAAACCAGGACAATGCTGTTACCAGGTACATGTACAGATAATTTTGTATACGTCTCTTATGTGCGGTGACCTGTGTATTCCCAAATTTTGTATACGTCTCTTATGTGGGGTGACCTGTGTATTCCCAAATTTTGTATACGTCTCTTATGTGGGGTGACCTGTGTATTCCCAAAACCTAAAGGGGCACTCCATGGCCCAAATACAAAAATCACTGATTTGTAGATATGATACCAATGAAAACATTGATGCATTTAATTATGCAGATGTTCGTTGGGTGTATATCTAAAACAGCTTGCAAAAGTTGCAGATCTCTTTCAGGGCCGGTGCACAAATTTCTGCCGCCCTAGGCAACGATTGATTTTGCCGCCCCCTCATGTCACTCACTGACAGACATACACTCACTCCCTGACAGGCACACACACAGACACTCACTGACAGATACACACTCACCCACTGACAGACACTCACTCACTGACAGACACACACACTCACTGACAGACATACACTCACTGACAGACATACACTCACTCACTGACAGATATACACTCACTCACTGACACAGACACTCACTGACAGACACACAGACATACACTCACTGACAGACACACATTCACTGTAAACGCCCCACACATACACTCACTGACAGACATTCACTCGTTCACTGACACACACACACAGACACTCACTGACAGACACACACTCACTGACAGACATTCACTCACTCACTGAGATGCACACACAAACACACACACTCACTGACAGACATACACTAACTCACTGACAGACACTCACTGACATACATACACTCACTCACTGACAGAAACACGCTCAATGACAGACATACACTCACTCACTGACAGACACACAAACAGGCAGACACTCACTGACAGACACACACACACACAGGGGGACAATCACTGACAGACACACACACAGGCAGACAATCACTGACATCCATACATACACTCACTCACTGACAGACACACACACACACACACACACAGGCAGACAATCACTGACATCCATACATACACTCACTCACTGACAGACAGACACACACACACACACAAAAACACACTCACTGACAGTCAAACACAGTCAAACACTCACACACTCACTGACACACAGACTCAGACATTCAGCCTCACTACCTCCCTGGGTCCAGTGTGGGGCAGCTCCTCACTCCTCCAGTGCGCTGTTTAGTATGCTGGGGCCAGAATTACGTCATATTCCGGCTTCCGGCGTGACTGACAGCGCACGAGGGAGGAGTGGGGAGATGCAAGAAGAGCCTCCCTGGCCGCCCACACTGCCATCGCCTGCCTCCTCTCCTGCAGCATTCATACCCAGCCATTAGGGTAAGCAGATGCCTGCTCTGCCATATTGAAGGACAGCTTTGGTGGCGCCCTTAAGTGGCCAAATGGCCATCTCCTGGGCCCCCTGTGACATGGCTCCTTGCGGCGCCCCCATTTTCAGGTGCCTGGAGGATCAGCCCGGCGCTGAGCCCAGCGCTGCGACCCAGGACAGGGGGAGCCCACCAGGAAATATCCTGGTGGGCGCGCCCCAGGCAGGCCGGCTCCCTAGGCAAATGCCCTATTCACCTAACTGTTGCTCCGGCCCTGATCTCTTTGCAAGTCCTCCCCTTCTAACCCCGCCCAGACTTTCTGTGGCTGTCCAATCACAGACTTCCCAATGCAGCTCAATGAAAAGTCTTTTGCAAGGCAGGTGCTATGGACAATGGCTGCCACTTGAGTTTAGCTCCACTGAGCTAAACAACCAGGAAGTAACAGAACCTGTTGTCTGACAGCCAGGGGGTTGCAACAGAGTTCATTTTTATTGAAATAAAATGGAAGAAAAAAGAAAAAGAGGGCACACCGTTTACACATAAAGTGGTTCAGCAAGCTAAACTGCTTTAGGGGTCTGGAATGTCCCTGTAATAAAAGGTAATCAATAAACATAAATACATAAAGCCTGAGTTCAGTCTTTTTTTGCCCGTACTGACCTTTTCTGATGATTTACTCAAGATATATAGTACGTTTACATATTTTGTTGATTAATATAACACATTTTCCTATATTTCAATTGAATCCGATTACATTATTTCTCTCCTTACTGGTAGTATATATGTCTTCCTCATATACAATCTTCCATACAATGTTACAAACTTTATATAGCTTTTTATAATATTTTTGAATGTATATACATTAACTTTATTTATTGTTTATTTGTAGCTTCCTGGTGGAATTTGAGCAACGAGTGATTTCCGATTTAAGGAATCTGTAATATAACTAAATGCACGCCTGAAACTTCTCCTATCCTCAGTGAACTGTCCTTTTCTACCTCTTTGCCCTCCCCCCCATTTTATCATTTTACTTGTCCCATAAACCCAAGAAAATCTCAAACAACCAGCTCTGGACCCCGGAAGTGGAAGAAAAAAAAAGTGATTTTTACAGATGTGATGCAATATGTTAGTAATTTCATGTGCTATGTTTTTATGACTTTTGTGCCTACAGTATATATTTAAATATTTACAAGCATACTACCCGTACTACAATTATTTTAAAATACATTCTTTGGATAAACATTGCACCTTCTAAAAGTATATTGGAGCAAGTTACTGTAAAGTACAACAGGAAGTTACTGTAAATGACAACAGGAAGTGAATAGCATAAATGAAAATGACAGACATTTCATTTCATCTGTCTTAAGTTCTGTAAAAGTATGAAAATGTTTACTAATTGTTCTTTAAAATGTCTTTCATTTTTTGTATGTATTTATGTTTTGGAAAAGCAGAACTGTATTGAAAAATCAAAAAATCATTTACAGTCTTCTCTGGCAAAAAAAGATTAGCTCCTAGACATTTGTTTTTACATCCAACATTTATTTGATGGAACCATTCAATTAACAGGATAATTGCCATCATAACTTCAATTCTGGATTTTTAATTTAATGAAACTTAATGAGTTTTTTTTTTTTGTTTTTTTTTAAAGTGTCACTTTTTTATTTGGCCGAGCAGCCATTTTAGGTTAGAGTCTTCTGTTATCTGATCAACTGTTGCTCAACCTAACTTGCCGACTGCTGTGGCCCCTCTGTGTTAACCTCCAGCAATATACATGTTAGGATGAGCAGAAAAAAAATAATAATATGATTCTCTTAAAATCATTAAGTTTCATTAAATGTAATAAACCAAGAAGTGAAAATTTAAAGACAGTTTTACTTTGTTCTTTTATTTTCTCCTTTGATGTCACATCCCTTCCTGCACTTTTGCATAGTTACATAGTATTATCGGCTGATAAAAATTAAACTTCATCAAGTTAATCCTTAAATGATTTCTCATTTCAATCAAAAGAGGCAAAAAACACACCTTACGGCAATCTCAAATTCCGCCACAAAATAGTAAAACAATTAATTGGCTCCAAAATGTCAGTAATTTTTGTTCTTGAATTAACTGCTGTTATTGCGAATATCATCTGTCATGTCCATGAACATAATAAAAGCTTCTCTTAAAGGAAAAATAAATATATTTATTTTTAACATTCGATGGTCCCTGTGTTAGTTTAGATTCAGGGCTCTCCTTACGTTACAAAAAAAAAAAAAAAAAATTAAATTTACCTGTAATCCAATGTTGTACCGTCTTCTCGCTACGGCTTAATCTTCCTTCTTTGAGATCAGTTTAATTGCATTAACAATGAAACAGCTGTCCATGAGTGGTTCACTGACTTTGCATCTTTTCCCAAGTTGTGTTTCAAAGCTGTTGTATACAGCAAACACAGACTCAAAGAAATCCATGTTTAAAATGGAATGAGGCAAAAATGTGATTCTTTGTTGAACTAATTTGCATATGCCCACCCAGAATCCTTTGCGGTAGTAACATCACTGCAAATTTGTGATTTCTGTGGGAAAAGCAAGTCTTATGGCTTGACTGGTGTGCAGATTTTTGTTTAACATTGTATTGGCTATCCACAGACATCAGGTGGAAGGGGTTTTCAATCACACTTTTTCCCCACCATAACCTTTTTGGTTTTTGCTTCATTGAGATCATTAGTCATATGACTTCTGGTTTAATCAGATGCTTCTTGCAGAGAGGCATTGCACACGTGCCTATCTTCCTCACCCACCTTTTGGAGCTGAGGTAAACAGGCAAGAGTGCAGACCATGCTCAACTGAACAAGTGTCCTTTCTGCATTTCATTGCAAGACTGTCCTGGCAAATGTACGACTGTTGGCATCGATGGCATTGAAGACTTATACAGTTGCTGCCCTCCGCCAATCAAATGCTTCATATATAGAAGCACTGAATTTAATGTTTCTCTATGAAGAGCATTAGCAATATTTTCTGTCATCATGAATCGTTAAAATAGAAGGAGGGAGTGCCTTTAGTGGCTTTCTGACAGTCACAAAAGACATGTTCTAAATGTATTTCCATTTTTCTAAAATGGCAGTGTTTCACATTATATTGCAGTGGTTATGGTGCTCAAAAGGGCCTCTTTAAGAAAGTATGCAATTACATTAAATATTACTTAATAGATTGATGAGCAAAACATTTTCCTAAAAATAAAAATTATAAAGTGCGTTAATTATGATTTGTACCATCTCTTTTTTGTTATTTTTAGAAAGGCCTGTAAACTACACATAATTTGAAGTACTTCCAGTGGACATGTCACTTAGTCAAATCTGAATGTTTGTGAGCACAGCGATCTCTAAGCCCCATAACTCCAGAGATGATTGTCGTGGTTATGGTGCCACAGGTCAATGGATGCAATACCCCCATTTTTTGTCAACCTGTTTTGGGGCTATTTTAAATAAAAGTATAATTTTCCTTGACATCTGTAGTCTACTCTCTCTGCAGCCACACTAATAATGCAGAACTCAAATTTCTACATTCTCGAGTGTGAATCCCTCTCAGGCACTGAGAATAGTCTTGGCTTCTATTAAAACATTCCTAGATAGTGTAAAATGAAACCATGGAAGATTAAATACACACCAGGGAACATAACCAATGCAGCAAGCTAATTTAAATCAAGCTAATTTGCATAAGGTGTCCCTTTAACTCTTGAATGCTGAGACACAGTGTACCACTACACTTGGTACAAGCTAGCGGAAAAATGATCCCATGCTAAGGTTTAAAATATGCCTTTTGAAATACCCTGGGATGTCTTTTTTAAGAAATGGTATGCCTTTATGGGATAGTTGGGATATATAGCTAAAATACTACAAAATGGGACCTGGACACAGCGTAAAAATGCAAAGTTTGAAAAAAAAATGGAATGGCTGTGTCTCAAATGTGCCCCTTCAATATCCACATATACCTGGCAAAGAGGTACATACGGGGGTATTGCTGTACTCAGACAACATATGAAGTATAATACAGTCGTAGCACACATAAAGTTTGCAAAATATACTGTGCAAACTGAATTTGTGTGTCAAAAAGCCAGAAAAAATGCCTATTACCACTACACTTGGTACAAGCTAGTGGAAAAATTATCCCATGCTAAGGTTCAAAATATGCCTTTTGAAATACCCTGAAATGTCTTCTTGAAGAAATGGTATGCTTTATGGCGTAGCTGGAATATGTAGCTTGATCAAGTGCCCTAAAGTGGGACACGGACACATCAAAACCCTCCATGAAAATTCACACTTAAAAACCTGAACTTGTCACGTCTCTTTTACAGCACTGTAACTTCACAAAATAGTGTGTAGGTCATACATTGGGCATTTTGTTTTACTCAGAAGATGTAACTGAGCATAATTTGGGGGGTTTATGACAGTAGTACATTTTAAGTGTAAGAAATAACTCCATATATGCTCTCTTTCAAAATAAAGAATAATAAAAAAGGAAAAGTATAACTATTAGACTTGGATAATCAGTATCAAAAGAATTGTGATCTGGTCGAATTTGGACCGATTGGCGATACTGCCAAAAACAAACTTTGATCTGACACTTGAACTAATCCTGAAGCAACTGAAACTCCCAAAGTCCAGTTTCAATTGCAGGAGCCCGGGGACCGTGCCGAAGGACGTGGGAAGAGAGAGCCTTTTGTTTGTTACAGAGGGCCACAAGGAACTGTCTGAGCGAAATCCTCTCCCCCGCTTTGGAGCGGGGAAGCTGAACGATCGGAAAGGATGGAGGGTAGCTGGGAGCGAGCCAGTTCCTGGATGCCCTTTTCCCTTTTTTTTGGGTACCAATGCAGGCTGCGGGTGGTCCTGAAGCCCGTCTTTTTGGATCTGAGACAAGCAGGGGTGGGGCACTCCACCTTTTTCGCCAAGTGCCCTGGCTGGATATGGAGTGCCATTCAGAGTCCACTGTACAACTTCTAGGACCGATGTGCTAAGTTTCAATACCGCATGTCTCTCCTTGAGGCTGCTTGGGTGGGCTGACATCCACTTTCTGTGATTTAGTCACTTAGAGGCTTGTCCTGCCACAAGCACAGCAGCTGGGGTAGCTGTGCTGCCACAAACCAGGACTTTGGCATATTATTCAGGCCATTCGCAGCCGGGAGAATCTGTGCTGCATGTTGGGACTCTGCCCACAATTTGGAAAGAAAAACACAAATAATATTTCAGGTTTCCCTGGAGCCAGGAGGACCTGTAATGCCATGAGTTGGGAACTGGAAAATGTTTTAGCTTTCCCTGCAGCCAGGAGAACTTGTTCTGCCTCAGGTTGGGACCTTTAAGAACTTTCAGGCCACTCAAAGCCGGGAGAGCTTTGGGTGAGGGAAAGCAGCACTTTGGAGAAATTGTCCAAACTGGTGGGAGGGAGGACTTGGGAGGGCTTTCATCCTCCCCACCCAAATTCTTCTCTTTCTCTCTTTCTTTCCATCCTACCTTGTCTACACTGGCAAATCTTCAACAAGAATGATCCAACCCAACCTGGCGCTGAGCTCTGCCCTCTGCTTCCTTGCTCTGTCAGAGTCTAGCCTGGACTAGTTTGTGACCTCAACTATCTGCTGGCTAGGGACAAGCTGGCAGAGTGACATCACAAAGGATGACAGAACACTGAGGATGTCATTGAGCCACAGCAAGCAGGCAGTCAGCCAGTGAGGGACAGCTTTCCCCCTCCCTGTGGCTGATGGAAAACTGAGGATGTCATAAAGACACAGCAGCCAGCCAGCCAAGCCTGCTGCCTGCAGTGAGGGTAGGCCTGTGCAAGAAGACAGTCATGGAGTGTAACAAGACTTGGTGCTATCTTCCAGCTTTGCAACAGCAAACTCTGGAAACCATGCCCACAGTGGAAGGCTGAATCCACATCACAGAGGGCAGTGTGGGCTTTGATATTTTCTCCAGCTTCTGTGCCTCTGGACTACCAGCTTTTAGTCCCCACCGCCACTTGAACCCTTTCCAGGCGTTAAACCCCCAATCCCCAGTTTTCAGCAGGTGAGTTAGCATAGTTCACGGGCCAAGCCACATTGTCCTGCCAGCTGACGATGCAGCACTAGCAGCCAGTGGGCAAATAGTCACATTTGTCTTTGGTAGTCACTATTACCCACAATCATACAAAGGAGGTTTTATACCTTCTCCATGCTTCCACTCATATGTAATGAGTGGGGGCATGTATGCTAAACGGCAAACAGCAAGTGACTGTAATGAAAGACTAGCAACTGCAAACGTTATTGCTGCCCAATTGCTAGAAATGTACTCTGCCTCGGGTGGACAGATCAGAGAACTCTGAGCTTGGCCAGCTGTCACACGATTAAGCCTCACAGCACCACATAGTTGTCCAGTTCAGGTGGTCTGGGGGATTTCCTGCCTCTTAAATTTAGTTCCATTGAGTTAAACAACCAGGAAGTAACAAGACCAGTTCTCTGATTGACTGCCAGGGGGGTGTAACAAGATCAATTTATAAATGTCTATTGAAATCTGAACTTTTTGCAAAAAGAAAAAGAAGACACACTTTAGGGTTATGGAGTCAATTTTAAGTCACTAAAGATGTACTTTGGGAGCATTACAGCAATTTTTGATTGTGATCAATGAAAGAAACTCATATGATCTTGTCCAAAAGTCAGAAAAGATTATCAATCAGACAACATCATTAGATTGTAATTGTACAGTTCCTAACCTCAGCCTATGAGATCAACTGGAACAACAAGGAACTGAGATCAGCTTAAAGGGTACATTTATCAAGAACTCTTCAAGCTATATTGGCATTTGAGAACCTCAAAATGGTCTTCCTTTCAGCCTCCATCTTGAGACAGTCTGAACTTACAGCCCATTAATTGCAGAAGTAGACAATTTGGAGATTGGAAAGAAACAGTGTGGTATTAGAAACATAACATCATTAAAGCTACACTCTTCTCCAAGCGGGTTACCAAGGAAGAGAAAATTAATGATATTTCTCCTTCAGATCTGTTTTGGTCAGAAACACATTCTAGATGGTTTCAGCCATGTTCTGGTTATATATAGGTCTTTTTACAGTTTACTTTTTACAGATCTGTATCAGTACTGCCAAACATAGCCAATAACTCCATTCAGCATATATTCAAGTTGCCCACTGTATCATATTCTATTTTTTTTTTTTTTTTATTACATGCATTTCACATCCATATCTTTGATCCTAAGCGATATGAGCATATTATACAGGTTTCAAGCTCTTTTCTGTTTCTGAAGGTCCATTGGGCATTGGCATGACCTGATAAGGTTACTAGAATTGTCAACAAGAGTATTGTATCAATCACATGGACTTTGTTATGTTAATGTATTCTTGTACACTCGCTTTGGTGGTGTGTATAAATAGAATGTATTATAAGTGTTAGGGGAGACAACGAGACACAGACACTGAGACACAGAACTTCAAGGACAGCGTGACTCCACCTAACACTCTGAATGTCTAGTAATTACCATCAGCTCTTGAACATTTAACAAGAACAACACTGTAAGAACTGACTTTGTATTTGCGAAGCAAGAAGAAAACAGTTTTTGTAAAAAAACAAAAAGGTAATTGCGTTCTATTTTTGTGTGACACAGAAGAACATATGTTTGTATATCATAGCAGACATGCCTTTTGTACCAGAAGAAAGAATATACATACATATGAAAACGTATCAAGTTATTATTTCTTTTTCTATACCCACCATATAAAAAAGTGTGCTAAAGATCACTGCTCTAGTCAGTTCTATTTATTTTTGGCATTTGGAAAGTGGCAACTTATTCCCCAGCTATTTACAATATTATAAATGGGGAAATTTAACAATAAAAGAGACAATTATAAAATGTTACAGGAACAATAAGTTGATGAGGACCCTGCTCAAATGACCTTACAGTCTAGAAAATACCCCATAAAAAACACATGAATTGTTAATACTTCTGCACATAAGATTTGCGCTTACAGACACCAATTTTAAAGAGCCTTCAATCAAATTATTTTTTGCAGAATTACAGCAGAATAAAAAGGAAAGCAAATAGTGCAGGATGTCAGTATAGTAAAAATAGAGCATTTATTTATACAGTGAGGGAAAAAAGTACTTGATCCCCTATCGGTCAGCAATATTTCTGGCTGCCAGGTGTCTTTTATACAGGTAACGAGCTGAGATTAGGAGCACTCTCTTATAAGGAGTGCTCCTAATCTCAGCTCGTTACCTGTATAAA